GAAGAAAGCAGTCTTCTGGGATTTGGCACCGTGTATATGTGGTGTTAACCGATGTTTCGGAGGAACGTATCGCCTCCATCTTCAGGGTAGAAGGAGCTGTGAGCTCACATAGCTGTGTATATTTCCATCACCAGTCTCCTTTTACCGGTTCTCGGTCTCTTCGCTTGCGGATTTCTTATATTTTTCCTTCTACCCTGAAGATGGAGGCGATATGTTCCTCCAAAACATCAGTTAACACCACATATACACGGTGCCAAATCCCAGAAGATTGCTTTCTTCATAGTCACCACCGTGAAAGCCTAAAATCTTACACTGTAATATTAAGCTCAACAATTTTAATTTCAATTTCAAATCAATATTTCTACTAATACAAAGAAAACTGAAAATGCAAATTGCAGGAAACCCCAAAGATGGAGGCTGCAAGTTCCATCAAAATGTTGGTACCAAAGTACACGGCGTCATGTACCAGAAGACATTTATCTTCAAGAAAGGACTGAATTACAAAGAACTTTTTTTTAAGCTGAAATCTAAAACGATTTGTTTACAGACTTTGATGAGAAATGGTTACAATGGTTTGGAAACATAAACAGGGGCAGAACAAGGATACAGTGGCAGTTGCTTGAATCAGAATATGAAGGAAAGAGAGGCATGGAGGAACCTGGAACAACATGGTTCTGGAAGGGTCTGTAAGACATCACAAAAAGAGAACAGAGCTGGTATGAAATTGAAGATAAATTAAAGACTGTCAGAAAACAGAAGGAACTGGAGATCTGTCATCTTCTGACTTGTACAAATGGAAAAGATTCTGGAGAGAGTCAACACTGTCAAAAGATGGAATAAACTGTTGTCACAATTTTGCAACTGGAATGAGTTTTGAAATATAAACAGGATGACGGACAGTGTCCAGAAACATATTTGAACTAATGTACCACTATCACAAAGTATTGGATCTTACTGAAGAGAGTTACACTTGGAAGTTATACAGAGTGTTTCACAACTTTAGGGCATAACTGCAGGAGGTGATTATCTAGGTCTTTGTGATCAAAAAAGTTCATATAAACAGGTGTCAATTTTGGTTACAGAGTTATGACCATTTTAAACTCAGAATAGAAGGTAACGATTACAGACAATAAATGGAACAAAATAATAAACCAGCATAGTACATGATACATTTAAAGTATGAATGTAAAGTTAACTTCGTGAAATTACCTTTAATTTGAATTTATTGGTGCTTAAAGCTGATTTTCGAAAATGCCACCGCCAGCCACAACACAGGCTGCCGCTCGGCTGTGAACCGCGCAGGACATACCAACCCACCATGCCTTAGGTACGTCTCAACTGTCGAGATAACGAAAACGCTGTCTGTAGCTAGCTAAAAATAGCGACCTGGCAGATGATAGACGCAGTTCACACGAGGGTGTGTACAGGAATGAAAAAACAGTCATAACTCAATAACTGTTCAAAATTGGACACATGTTTATGACTTTTTTGATCACAAAGACCTAGGAAATCACCTCCTGCAGGTATGCGCTAAAGTCGTGAAACACCCTGTTATGTCACAGTGATATGCTTCAACTACATATGCTTTACTGAGGCTACACATACTGTGATAACGAAAGCTGACAACCTCATCACCATCTGTGAGCCAACTGTTTGGAAAAATGTGGGAACTTAAATGTCTCACAACACTATGGGCCTCCATGGCCTGTTACAGGGATAGCTTTTTAGCTTTTACATTAACTACAGAAGCCACACATATTCTCCTGCTTATCCTAAAAACATGCTACAAGATCACCCATGCCAGAGATCTGCCACTTGCAGGCAACACAAAGAGTGAGGTACCCACTCACCTTCCTCCCCTCCATCCTCACCAGTGCGAGCTTTGCGTTGCTCTGTAACAGCCGCTGGCTCCCCACTGGTAGACGGGCCAGTTCGTCTCCTGCAAGAGAGATGTGTGAAGCAGACAGTAGAACAGACTTCGAAGGAGAAGGTCGAAAATGAATGTCAAACACACGTCTGATTTTGCCAGGCAGTGCAGGGAGCAATGTACTCACCGTGGCACCCAGATGGGGCTATTGGTCAATTCTAGAGATTCCACAGCCCCTGGGGAACTCTTAAGGGGCAATGTCTTGGTGCGCTGCAGAGCAAGGCGTATGTCCTTGATGGCGGCTTCCACCGAGTCGCTGCTCATCTGTGGGGGGTCAAGACTCATACTGCGGTGGGGCTGGGGGGCTGGAGGCGGCGGTGTAGTCTGAGCCCCTGCTGAAATATGACGCATCACATCAAATTACAAAGCAAGGTCGGTAACCTCTCCAACATTAACTATTTGTTGTTACATCAAATGTAAACAATTCTATCATACCGGCTGTGATATATGGAGACAGACTGATGGACAGACATGACCTCCAGTCAGGCAGCCTTCACTGTTTTGTAAGTATTACTTAATAATGCAACTTTTCAAGGAGTAATGAAAAGACAAAAAGTTCCTCACCATGCAGTGGGTCCAGTGCCTCCAGGTCTGGATCAACGGTGTCATACGAATTGTCTCTACTCTTTGTGGTGGATACAGGGAACAGCTCCGCACTGCCAGTGTCCGCTACTGGTGTTGCAGACTTCTCCTTGTTAGTGGCTCGCTGCGTATTGATCTCGCGCTCGATCTCTGTTATCTGCCGCTTCATTAGCTTCATCACAGTTGGATTGTTGTTATCTGTGTCAGACGCGTGGCCAGATGACAACCCATCCTCTAGCACGGGCATACTGGAGTACAGTCTCATGGAATCAGGTGCCAGCTGGTTGGGGTTATCAATGCTACCGCCTGTAGGACCCTCGCTCTCCAACAAGAGCAGTGACACCTCACTATCCAGATCACCGCAGTTTGAGTCACAGTCCGTTGTCTCGGGGGACAGGGTGAAGTTGCGGGAATGGCCCACCTGCAGGCCACCAACTTCTGTGTCACCCAGATCCTCTGTGGACCCAGTTGTGTCGGCTGACAGGTCCAGAAAGTGACCTTCTGTTTCCACATCCTGTTCCTGTCTCACACACGCACAGACACACATATTTCACTGCAATTCCTGTTTGTCTCCTCTAAAGTGTCTCAACTTTTAACACTTAATAATAGTGACACAATACGATATAATGTACTTCATGTAAGCCTAATATTACCCATAATGCAGAGGCAAAATCAATGAGCCAAATTTAATAAATGAACTGTTTCCTCCTCCTAACTTAACAGAACTGCTGTACTTTGAAGGATTAAAGCATTCATTCCATCTTAAAGCTCTAATTAGCTATTTGGTTACTTTACAATGCTGTATCAACTACATTTCTCACCTCTAAAGTATCTAAGTCTGCCTGCTGTGGGGTGGTGATGCTCGTGAGTTTGCTTGGTGAGGTACCATCCTCTATCACCCCCTGTTCCAGGCTGTCCTGGTGTGATGGACCTTTAGCTAACCGCTGTCCAACATAGGCACTGCCAGCCTGCCGCCGCAACTCATAATCCAACTCCTGGAACTAACACAAATATGTCTGAGTGCTTACTGGGTCAACTCAACCCAGTCCTCATAAACACTACTCTCTGATTCTCAGCTACACCTCAGTTCTCTATCTGGCCAGCCCGCCTCAACCTCAGTTCTCATTACACAAGTTGAACTGCACACATGTCCAAATGTATGCACCAAATGGATGTAAACGATCACAACTCCAATTTCTAGTAATTATTATCTTAATCTCTAACAGACATGCCACACTACTTCATGAGCAGCGTGCACTGTGCGGCTGACAGATCGCTACATTTTTTAATACCATTATCTCCATTAAATCCTCTGCCTTAACAATCTGGACACCATGAAGAAGAGAACAATCTCTGCCCTTACTATGAATCAAACCCAATTTCCTGGTCCTTCAGCCTCTTAACCGAGTGACGAAAGTGACTGAGTTATCCTGATTCCTCCATTAAACAGTTTTCAACATGATGAATGGCTTCTAATTAACTCTCACCTGGAAGTCACCTGCTGCAGAGTTGGTCTCCTCCCCTGACGGTGCAGGGGGGCACTTGAAAAATTCTTCGAGTACCTTCCGTGTTTCAGAAAATTCATAAAGGTAGTCGAACGCTGTCGTTGCCGTACCCGCCACTGGTGAGGGTGTTGCTGATACTGGCACCGCGAGATCAGGTTCCATCGCAGTGGGAAGGACACGCTGCCATTACAATGACACATTGTTGAGTGAGCTCCATCAAGTATTGATAACAACAACAGGCGCTCAGTTACGTATTCACCTGAGGGAAGCCAGGCCGCGGCGGGTAAACAGAAGGGGAAGCCAACAGACTCTGGGCAGAGGGCAGCAAAGGATGCGAATGTGACACGTCAAGATGCCGGGGCCCATAGCGTCGGGGGGACCCTTCATACTCTGCTATTGGCAGGTTTCCAATCACACGGGGCGTTCCTTTGGCGCTGCTCCTTCCATGTTCAGGGGATAGAGAGTCGCCATCCAGGTCGGAGGCTGATGTCACAGCCTACAGCCAGAACACAGGCATAAAGCGTCAGCTGCCAAGCTCTGCACTTCACATGGGGAACAGGCAAGCAGAGAAACACATCACATTACCCTTCACAGCAGCCCCAAAACAGCTTAAAGTGTTGACAGTTAAACATTATGCAAGCAGATAAGATCATAAGAACCTAGCAGATCCTCTCTGTCTGGCCTGGCTAATCATTCCTTTCTACATACCCAACTGACTGGGAAATTTTGTAATTTTGCAGGTACAACATCAGTGTGAAGAGAGATGTAGAGTTGTCTGGAGGTTCTGCCATTGGTTTCATTAATCTGGAGACTGCTTGATGATCCTACATGAACTGCAGAGGTTACTTAGCACTTTATGATATTGAAACAGAAGAGAGATCAACAGGCATCAAGAAACCCACTGGCTGCTCATCCACGATATGTGAAAAATCAAGTTCAACAAGTTGGAAAATCTTTTAATCTATTGTTAACACTCTCCCCGACTGTCTCTTTTTATTTATCCACATATGTACAACATCCAATTTGTAACAGGCAAGGGTATGAGGACCTTCGTTACTGTGACACTGTTGTGTCCGCATGTCAAGATGAAGAGAAAGCATCCAAGCAAGATACAACCGTGTCGATGTCTGTACGTTCCTCTTGTGGAGAAATGCATGGCAAGTACAATTTCTTGTCTGACTGGTGACCTGAGCACAAATTTCCTTGCCCCCCTTCCTGAACACACTGTAAGATGGCATATGAAGTAATGTAAGCAGTTAAGCCTCACATCTGGTCACTACAAGATGCTAAGAACAGTAATCATAATTAAATCACCCATTCAGATCTCTGTACAATATTAATTTCTAACACAAGTTATTTAGTTTCCAAATGGGGGGGAAAGAAAAACCAAGCTGCTATACGTGGCTCTTAAAGAGGTAAAATACAAGGGGCAACAATTTAATTCCCAGAATGGCCCTGTGAAAGCAAAATCTGCTTATATGTGCAACAGTGGCTGCTGTCACCTTCGAAATGACTCCTTGTGAAGCTACACGCTTCATGAGACGATGGTGTCATTGCTGGAAAATGCTACATTTTATTATGACTTTCTTAGCCAGAAACTCGTGAATTCTTAATGCACCATGTGCAGGGGCATTATCATGGTGGAGAAACCACTTGTCAGGCCAGGGTTCCGGTCTTTTCCTCAGAACAGATTCCCATAACTTGTCATCACTTCCAAACAGCACTGCTGATGCACTGTGTCCTTGTGCAATGAATGTATAGTGAACTATCTCCTTGTGATCGAAGAAATACACAAGCATGGTCTTGAACTGCGAGTCAGACATGCACGCTTTTTTTGGCTGAGGTGAACTCTGTATTTTCCACTGCATGATTTCGCGCTTTGTTTCCGGGTCATATTGAAATCACAATGTTTCATCAACGGTAATGACCCTATCAAACATCTCTGCATTGCGTAAAAGATCCGATGAAATGTGAAGCCAACATTATTTCTGGTCATCTGTCAAGATTTGAGGGACAATCTTCGTGGAAATTTTTCTTATTCCCAAATCCTCCGTAATAATCTGTTGCACTGTTCCCTTATTCATATTCAATTCTTCTTCATATTCAATTCTTCTGCTGTTAGTCTCACAACTAATCTTCGATCTGAGAGCACAAAGGTTCGTACTCTGTCCACAGTTGCATCTGTCCTTTGCGTTTTTGGCTGTCCACTTCTTGGGTCATCTTGCACAGCTCTCATCCTACCCTGAACGGCCTATGCCATTCAAAATCACTCAGTTTCTTCAAAGTGTACTCACCATAAGCCACTGTTAATAGCACTAACGTTTCACTAGCACTTTTACCAATCTTCACACAAAACTGGATGTTTATCCTCTCTTCCAGATTCTTGTCGCTCAGTTCTCCGCCAACAGTATAACACGGACATGAACTACTCCCGCTGCTGCTTGGGATTTGGTCTGTGTCTCACATAAACACAAGTTAGAACCTGTCCAAACGTGATTGGGTACATCGAGTTTGCCTGACTCAACACCCAGCAACACACAACGGCCTTTCCGGGAATTAAATTGTCAGACCTTTTATATGCACTGAAATTAGCAGACTAGAGGAAACTGTGGTGCAGATCAATGGTGGGCTGCACACCACTGGTTGAGTATTCATCATCATCATTTCCTGCTCCTACCAATGGACAGAGCAGAGCTATCTCATAGACTTCTCTGCCTCATATATTAATTCTTTCATCAACGTTGAGACAGACAGAAGCCTGGAAGTTCAGAAAGACCAGAACTGGAGGCACCGGGCACACCATTTTCTCCAGTACCGAGTTCAGTATTTTGGGTTGATACTGTGCAATATGAAGAGAGCCTTTTCAGAGGAACATATCGCCTCTCTCCCCCCAGTAATCCAAGCAAGAAACCAGCAGAAGCAGGCAGCAAGTTCAGGTTCAACCCTGAAAAACACTGGCTTTCGGAACTACAAAGAGTTACAACCCAGAAGACTTTACTCTTCACAGTAACCACTGTGACAACCACAAATCCACATTTTCTTCCATTTCAACCCATTTTTGAAACCGTAAGAATGTAACACTGAAGCACAAGCACCAGTGAACGTGACACAATCCTCGTCATACCTTGAAGAAGTCAGTGGCAGTGCGGTGATACACGGGTGGGCTTGGGGAAGTGCCCGTGGAAGAGAGACCTGTGGTATTGATGTTGTTACGCCAATCCTCTTCCCCAATGTCATCAAACACCACCACTTCTCCGCCTGCCGCAAGTGGTGAACTCATGCCGGCAGCTCGCTGGTGCCTCACCACAGATCTGACTTCTGTTGAGAATACAGTCTCTGTAACTTCACGCTGCTGAGAACTCAGCCCTCGCTTGTTTTTCATGTCATTACCACACCTGTAATAAACAATTTGTTATCACACTCAGACTGTAACCCTCTACTGAAACTACTAACAGTCGCAATACAGACCTCTGTGACATATACAGGCAGCAGAGAGTGTTCAACCTCAAATACTTTGCATCTGTTAACATATGCGAGGGTAAGTCAGTATGTAAGGTGAACACAAGCAAAGCATCAAAAGTTTCTGCCTTACATGCTCCAGAAGTCTTCACAGCAACAGTACACAACAAAGTCTTCTTGGATGATTAACCATGTCAGTGTGGAACTGATGTTCAGTGTTTCACAGACTGTCTCTGTCTCCATCATCATGGTTTCTGTGGTAAGTGCTGTGCTATCTCCCATCTCAGTGTGGACAATGCGGAGAACAGAAGGCAGTCACATGGTCAGTGACGTCCCATCTCAGTGTGGACAATGCGGGGAACAGAAGGCAGTCACATGGTCAGTGACGTCCCATCTCAGTCTGGACAATGTGGGCAACAGAAGGCAGTTAGAGCTAAACTTTAAAGCACCTGCATGAGCTGAAGTCACTTTGACTCCATGCAGTGCACATGGGAAGCAGGAGTGTTGTGAGTCATGTGTCAGTCAGTCAGTCCATCAGTGGGTCAGCAAACTGCCAGACTAGTGAGTCAGTTTTCAGTGTAGGTTGGTGATGAGCGAGACAAGGCAGAAAGAGGTGAGTGCAGGTGAGTGAGCAGTGGTGTTGCAATGGAACACTTAACAAAGAACTCTCTTCAAGGACATAAGGGATCACAGATGTCATGACAGTGATTGCTCTAAATATCGATAAACATTACAATACATTTGTACATTCAGTAAGAAGGATACACAAAAATGAGTAACTAAGTTGGTATGTCTGGAAAAATTGGTAAATTCATCTTGTTTCATTTTTTCTCATATGTGAACGACAGGAAACAGAAAACCAGCCTTTAAATATCAGCAAATCAAATTACAGCAAACTTGACGAGACTGCCTCATCCACTCAATCACTTTAATATCAGCAAATGGGTCAAGATATGTAGAAATGTCCTTCACCTTGCACGCAATTCCCACACGCCCTGAGTCTTCCCGGTCCGCTTGCCCAGCTTGTCACCATCGTCGAAGTAGCGGGCAGACTTGCAGCGTGCTGCCTTCGACCTGCTCTGCGAGAAAAGTTCACGCCCTCCTGCAATCTCAATGATCCGCGAGTCCCGCAGTTTGTAAGTGCTGCCAACCTTGCTGCCAGACCCGCCGACATTGCTGGTGAGGACTATCACCTCATTGCTCTCATGTTGCTCCCCCTGTTGGTTTGTGAGGTCTACCAGACAACAAACAATCAATGTTACAGGACACGAAGGCCTCAACTAGAAATGTGACCAGACAGGCGGGGTTTAATTCCCAGCATATACTCTGTCACTTTACTCTCTGAACTATGGTAAGCCTGCACACAGGAGTGGCTATGAAGATTACTCTCTTCAGGGATGTGGTGCCATGCAGTCTGGTAGATATGCATCCTGTGTTACATCCCAGAAGAGACAAATCTTCTTACAGCAACTCCCATTTACATAAAGAAAGTCATAAAAACCACAGAAAAAGAAAAAACTGATAGAAAATTCTGAACCTGAAATGCAAGTCAAATGAGTCACCACTACCCAGACTTTCTGGGTCTGTTAACCCTTCCAAGGTCAGGTGTATCCAAAAAAAGAACTCTGTGATCTTATTCCACAAGCAAACTATACTGACCAAGCAGCCACCACTTGTCGGCGGAGTTAGTGCCAACTTTTGCGTATAGAGGAAGTTGCATGGTCAGCGCAACAGATCTTCACAGCCATTAAACTTGGATTTCTAGACCGGAGCCGCTGCTTTTCCATTCAGGTAGCTCCTCAATTATGTTCACGAGGCTGAGTGGACTCCGTTCCTGAATCACTACTTCTCAGAAGATCTGGTATCGCCGGGAAACGAACCCAGGACCTCTGGATCTGTAGCCAGGGGCTCTGATCACTAGACCACAGAGGCGGTCCAGATTTATCCAATCCAGGTATATTTTTACAGCATGTCTCTGCATACCGTTGCTCAATGGATGCAAGGGTAAGTCTGGTCAGTTGAAATTCAGACATGTATTATACAACACTAACATATGCAGAGAATATATACACAATCCATATTATGGCCAGGAAGAGAAGTCCCACCAATGGTGGGACGACAGCACTTGGGGCTTCCCCTTTCTGCGAACTACTGTATTCTCACCAGCAGCCACTCCATGTGAACAGAGCAAAGTACAGCTGGAGTGTAAGCACGGAGGAGTAGAGCAGAGTGAGAGGTGCATCAGCTTGAGCCAGATGTGGGTGGGTGTGTGTGTGTGCGTGTTCATAAATATAGATGCACAGTGCAATAACTCTGAATATATTTAATGTGATCAGTTGACAAAGAATCCAAACTTGGTAATTTAGAGACTAACCAGAAAATGGTGGCATCAGTTGTCAAAATTATTCCTATGGTATGTATCACCGAAATTACTGCAGCACAACATGGATGAACATTCTGCCCCAAGACTGTGATGTGGCAGATACGTACTTGTTGCAGTGTGGTCAATAATCAGCTCCTCGTCCTCATCCTGTAACATGTCGTCTGAATTCTCCAGGTCAGAGGAATTGGCCGAGTTCTCAGAATTACCCGCGTTTGTCTCGTGTTGGCAGTGGTTGTCTGCCCCCTCCTCAGCTTCCTCTCCGTCTTCTTCCTCCCCTCCTCCCACCGCACTACTGCACCCAACCTTGCACCTGTGACCACACCATCGGTTTCTAATGCAGTGAAACACACCTCTCTAAACATTCAGAGGGATGCAGTCTACATGCCTCTGTTTCATCGTATCTCTTGTACTACAACACAAAAACCTTATACAAGAAAACAGAAGACAATTCAGGCTACTGATCAAAAACCAAATACGTCAAAATTCTTGAAATGTATGTGAGATTTTCATGGCTGGAATTATACACATTACTGTCTTATGGGAAGAGAGGGCAGCCAAGGGCCCCCAGTGAGCTTCTACTTGACTACACAGTGTCACATCCCAGAAGAATACTCTTCGAACTCTCCGTATGTCTCCTTGAGACCCTGACTCTGGCCATGTGCCTCAGCGGCCCCAAACACACACCTGTCCAGACTGGGAGGTGCATCCATCACCACAGAAACAACCGAGAGTCTGTGTCGTAGAAGACTGTTGTTGTCATGGTCATGCTGGCCATCCTGCTGAGCTGTATGCTGCTGCAAGGGGTTGAGATTGATGTCACGGGGCCGGCACTTCGGGAAGAGCTTCGTGATCTGGTCACTGTTGGCACCACTGATGCAGTCCTGCAGGTTGTCCAACTGCAGCAGACTTGTCATGGCTCCACGGCACGTCCCCGGATCAACATTACCACCAGCCTCAGAGGTTGACACCCCTGTACACGCAACACATCAGTCCTGCCAACTATGAGTCATGAGTCAGTGTCATGATCAATATTACAGATTTTGTAGTTGCAACTCCAAGAGACGTCTGCAGACAGATGGAATAGTTATGTACAAGAGGTGATCAGCAAATAATGCCCACCAGTGCGTTACACTCACATTTTGTAATCAAACAAAATAATGAACAAACCCTTTACATCTCCATGTAACTGCCAGAAAGACTAAGGCACCTGTCCCAGTGAAGAATGAGTCAACGCTCAACACACAACTCACTTTCCACTGCATCATCATATCACTTCACTGCTGCCCCATGGTTCAGGAACGTGAGGGGGAATGCCTTGTCCATACTTTGTGCCCATTGAGACGAGCGCTGAGGTTCACCAGTGGGGGCAAACACCATGGTAATCTAACATGTGGATGCGGTTGGGAGAATGCCGCAGTCGGTCTGCTGATTATGTCGAGACATACAGGGCCTATACATTATGCTTTCTCCTGTTGAGCTATGCCAAAGCAAGAAACAAGGGTGTAACGCACCCTCACATTAATTCTAAAACAGTTCTGACTGCGCTGTGCTCTGTGGTTTAATTCATGACGTCATCATCACACCAAACTGCATTAAATGGAAGGACGACTGATGGATACATCTGGTGGAAGGAAGCGGTCATCACCTAACCAAGGATACTGTCCCAGAAACTGCCTGGTGGGGCTGAGGAAACCCACCCCCAAAATCATACCACACAAAATAACAAACTGCATAGCGTCAAGTCAAAGTACATCACAGACTGGTGGGAAGCGGCTGTGGCCTATTCTGAGGTACCAGCCCGGCTGGTGGGGCTACAGAAAACTGCGACAAACCTCGGCTTGGAGCTGCTTCCTAACCATTCCCTTGGGACATGAGGTCACACTGCCACACACAAACACACGACGAGGAACTTGCGCTGTGCAGCGTGGGCAGCGAGACTCACCGCCACGCGACGTTGCTCTTGGCAGTTCCCCCCCCCACTTAACCGGACGTCCAGGCGGCGCGGTGAGTCAGAACACACACCCTCCTGGTCCCACCCGCAGATGTGAGCATCCCCACGGCATAAAAGCCTGCTATAGCTGCCAGTCCCACAAGACTTCACTTCCCTATAATTTAAAGCGGCGCTGTCAGTATCCAGGACATATGGCATCGAAGCGCAGGTCGAGTGATGAACTGGAGACGATTTCAAAGGAAGAGGTCATAGACTGATCAGGGCAGTATCCCCGGAATTTGCCTGAAGGGACTGAGGGAAACTACGTTAAATCTGTCAAGATGTCGGGTCTAGGGCGTTACCACCATTCCAACCTGCTCGGCTGCTCATCTCGTCGTTCCTCTGCCTCTGCCGGGAATCGAGGCCCGAACTTCCAGGTCACTATACTGACAGGGCTCACCAGGCTCCTCCGTTATTCCACGGCTGAATCCATGCAGCTGCGTCTTTCTTGAGAAGCTCAGCTTCTTATGGGGCACGAAGGTTCACCGCAGTGTTCAAAAGAGCCCCCGCCCCCGGTCACCGGTTCCTATCTGAGCCAGAAAGGTCCAGTCACCACGCCCGTAACCTACTTCCTTAACAGTTTTAATATTATCCTCCGACCCAAGTGGGGCACGCTGTAGCGTGGTTGGTTGAGACACTATGCTACAAGCCGGAAGGTAGCGGTTCGATTCCAGACGAGGTCATTGGATTTTTCAACTGACCTATTCCTTCCAGCCGCACTATGGCCCTGGGGTCGACTCAGCCTCCAACAGATATGAGTACCAGGAACTAAAGGGCGGCCTGCGTGCAAGGCTGACAACCTTACCACCATCTTTAAGCCGATTGTCTAGAAAATGTGGGAGCCTCGACGTCTCAGAAACCTATGGGCCTCCACGGCCTGTTACAGGGACAGCTTCACCTTCTTTCACCTTTACATCCCGCCCACGTTCAGGCGCTTCTTGTGGCTTCTTTCCTTCAGATTTTCCTACCCAAACTTTGTACGTCCCCGTCCCCTGGGCGTGCCACATTGCACTGCTTTTAGTTCTGCCGGTGCAACCGACAAAGAAATCCGTCCAGGCGCGGGCGCCCGACTTGTGGAGCAGCCTGTGGTGAAGAGGGGCCGCTAATTCGAGTGATTCATCCAGCAACTGTAGTTGTCACTTGGGAACGGCATATGCTGCAGGCGAGCCGGAACCCAGCCGCAGCTCACACGGGCACGGCAAAGTCGCTCTCAACTGCGGGGCCGCGCAGACATGCGTTTCTTCTGTCTTTCTTTTTTTTTTCTTCTGAAATCAGGGCGCGTTACATTTTATGGCGTCTAGGAAGCAATGTACGACCGATGAGCAAAAAACTTCATGACCATAACCCCAGCCACGGGCCGTAAACACAGAGACACGAGAAAAACGAGACTCCGGAAGTGCTTCTACGCACTTCCGATGATTAAATGCCGTGGGCACCTGATGGCTTGTAGGCCGGAAATGTCAGGTAATTTTAATATTAACTGATATTCTGCGATGAAGAGAGATCGGTCAGATTCCATTGTTACGCCTGTGCTCATTGTTGCGTTCTTAAACTGAACACTCGGGAAGGTGAGTAGGGGCGGGCATGACTGACACTGTTGAACATTCGGTGGTTGTCTGAATTCTCTGTTGGACAAGCTTACCGCTATATGCGGACGTATTCTAGTTCTCACCCGAAATTCACCCCCCCCCACCGAAATACTATGTCTCAGAAGCGGTTCCGTTGTGACGCGGCGTTACAACGAAACCAAGCGTGCGTCTTGCAGTCGAGTGGATATGGTGTTCATACGCCTTCAGCTTCCCACAGAATGGACATGATACAGACAGCCTCTTCCCCCCGCACTTCAAGCGCGCTCCAATTGAAAAGTTGTGAGAATCCACGCATTCCCTCGCTGTGACCGTCCTTCAACCTATCCGCATCTAACACCGCTGAACGATTTTAATTAAATCTTACATTTAAGAGTTTTCATAAAATTTCTCCACACATCCCCATCTTGGATTCAAGTCGGATGACGAGGGCTGCCACTTTACGGGAGCCTGCGGCCATCTCGGGCGCAACTCGCTAAATACTTAGAGGAGCGAAGAATGCGACACATTTTACATCCAATGCGATTTTTGCGTAAATCCTACTGTATCAGAGATGGTTAAACAAAGGGGAGCTTGATGCTGCGTACACAGCGAAAGCGCCGGAAACGCTACGCCGTGTGCACGTTTCGTAAGATATTCATCTCCTGCCAGCTCAAGCAGACTGCCATGTAATTCGACACTGCGAAAGCTAAAATTTATCGGGGGGGAAAGAAAACTCCATTCTCGTCCGTATCGGACGGCGAGAAGCTGAACTGGGCAGCTGGATCATCGTCAGATTTCTTCCGGTATATTTCCCGTCTTCTTTTCGTGCTGTTTCCACTCTGAACTGAATCTAGCAACGATGTCAACATTTACGGAGATAACAGTCGACAATGGAACAACGCTATCGAGATCATTATCATATCGATTGGACTATCTAATTCGCTTTCTGCCATCCTGTTTCACTCAAGTTCAACGTACCCTGAAAACAGAAACAAAAGTAGCAACATCTGTTTCTATACCCCATCTGCTATGAAAACGAGCATGCGTCATCCTCAGTGTGTGACGTAACCGTTACGTCATCATTAGAATCTAGATTCTATTTTCTACAAAACTTCCAGTATTCATTCGACGGTGGGGAGTTCAAATTATATTTACATAAGACTTTTCTTTCACGGAGAACGTGGATCTATACACCCACTCCCCTTCATGACGTAGTGCTTAATTAAATAAGCACAGGGACAACTTCGCCTCTACCTTTCCTTCCGCAAGGTTGCCTGCACGATGCATGACGCACCCGGTTCCCGGAAGAGTTTATTTGCAGTACACACGTCTCCAGCGCCTTCATTCCGATTTCCGATTTCAGACGTCACTGACCTTGACGTTTCTTCAATGCTGATACACACTTAGTATACAGACAATGAACCCTGCAGGGTCATACATTAAACAGAAAACAGATAAGGCTGCGTTAAAACGTACGCTATTTGTCTTGGCTATCTATTTACATGTTACGTCATTATGGAAAGCTTCAAATGAAACACGTGCTTCTAAATGAGCTGCATATTGCGACATATGGGCCGTTTCTGTGACAACTGAGGATCTGCCGTTTCTATGCGACGGCCGGCAAACACCCCCGTCATAGTCAAAGTTACTTTACGAATGGCGGTTTACTGCCAATCAGTTCGTCTCGGCGTCAAGCCCCTTGAGGTCCACGACCAGAGATTTTTTTTTTCCAACTGAACTCTTGCGGTAATAGTCCTTATGTAACATCCTCTCTGACGAGAAGATGGGTTTCTCTCTTATGAATACGCTTGGCCTTCCGTCAAGTGTATATTTCGCACATACACGCACGGTGTGTCAAGGATCCGTTAGGACTCTTTTTTT